ATAAATTATCACTACACGGGATTTGGCAACAAAAATACTTTTATATTTATAGTGAAAAATGCAAGATGGAAGTTTAAAATGTTATAAAGTCTTATAGAATCTACATATAATTAATAAGTATTCATACTAGAATTTATATTTAGGCCATACCATCTGCACACGTTTGTGTAGAGTCATGTGGCGTTGCGTTAAATGCAGGCTTTTGTTAGTTGTTAATGAATCCGATAGTTTAAAGTGTTTACAGACCTAACTTATGTCGAATGATTTTAGCAACATGATTTCATGGTTTTGGAGGAACCACGCGTTTAATATTATTAATTATAATTTATTAATATTAACATCAGGTGCGTTTGCGGTAAAATAGCTGCCTTGTTTTGCATAAAAATGTGCAAATAAGATTTAAATGATCTTCTCAGCACCAAGCCGTAAATGTGTAGTAGGTATTAAAGAAATAAACTAGATGTAATCAGCACAACGTACTAGGTGCCTAATCACAACCTGAGAGCAAACAGCAATTTGACTGATAACGGTGACAGACAGAATGAAGCCGCGAGCTAGAACAAATCCAACATCTTTGTTGGAATTTACATAATTTTGATATTTTCATTCCATAATTATGTTGTCCCGAAGTGGTGGTAGAGCAAACTACATTTGGGACGTGTAGCGCCCTGAAAAGGGCCTAAGTACTGAATATAAGCTTTGACTTTGACTAAAGTTAATCTGAAGCAATACACTCAGCGGTCGTAAGTGAATAGGTGAGTACGCCTAAATTGGTCCCGGTTAATTTCATATTAATAGTCACAGATACCTTCAGCTTCATAACACCTGACAGAGGTTGACCTCTTACCTTATAACCTCCCTCCAATCCGGACTGGGTCCGTGGATTAAGGCCCGAACCACCCCATAAGTGGGGTGAGGCTTATGCCCTGCAGTGGGACATCGGTGAGCCTTTTGATGTCCGACTAACACAATATTATCTACTAGATAAACGTTAGAAAGACGTCTTTGAAGTAACTTTATTTCCTCTTGTATAAAAGTAACAGTTGTTTTTACTTTGAGCCTTTTTCTCATCATTAAATTGGAGAACAACATGTGAATAATATCAAGGCACTTACTCGTAATAATTTTTATGACAGAATTTTCTGACACAGACAGTGTTACAATATTTCCTTTTCTTAGCTGAACGGCTACAACTCTATGATTTTTCTTCTTCTTATAAGTTTTTATCTAATATTTTTGTACTAGGTATAAAACATTTTACGCATTTTATCTTGAATATTTCTTCACCAGCGTGACTTCGAGCGTCATTAATGACTTTTTGCCAAAGGTAACGTTTTTGTTACTTCCTTTTTGTGCCCTCGAGATAGTTCGCCTCTATTAATCATGTGTAGATTCGACCAAGAAACGGGGGTCTACTCCGAAAAACGTTGAAGATTTATAGATTCTATCTATCTCATTTTGCCATGCTGGTAATCTTGTGTAAGTGAAAGAGAAGGAAAAAGGACAATCTAAATGATAGTCTGAGTAGGTCCTCAGAATTATAGAGCCGTGAGAATAACCTACCGTGACCTACTTACGAGTTGCGTATTTGTATGTATTTTTGGATGTTCGCGGTGAATAATTTAGTGCGGAGCTAGTAGATCTATGTGAGAAGTTTTTGGGCAAAATAGTGCTGTGAAATATACAGTATAGGGACGCTCTCACCTTTATTATGTAGGTACAACAAATATTAAAACTTAGTTTTGCTGAAATGGTGATACTGAAGCTACAGTTCTGTCGATAATAATTGTGGTCATACTGCTTTTATACTGGTGTGTCACTATAAGTACCAGCTACGAGGTTAACCTCATTATCACGTGGAATATACTCGTCACAACCTTTGTAATATGGTCGACATGTTTGTTTAGGTTCTCCCTTAAATTACGATCGTCTTTTTATTAGACAATCTCATGTTACCTCGTATTTTCTTTGGATAATCAGGATAATTTAACAATTTTAAAACCACAAATGAAATGAAACCGGAAAATTAAAGGCATCATACAAGGGAGAAATGTACGAGTATGTGTAATGAGCGCAAGCTTTTATAGCCTTATTAGACAACTATATTATTTATGATAGAAGAACGCCTGTAAAATCTGACGGTCTGAAGATGTTTGTCACCTACTATTCGTGGACATAATAAACATATAACCAAAAGCTAGATACACTTAACGTTTCTTATATAAAATACAAAATCTTTATTCAGCTTCTTATTATATTTCATAAAGGGTTAGAAATCTATTTTCAGCCATTTTCTTGTTTGTGTGGTAGAAACTGCTCTTATGCTTTTCTCCTATTTATGAAATATTGTACTCTCATCAGTGCATTAATACCTACTGATAAAAGTAAGAATAAAACACGAACACTGTACAATACTTAATAGGTACTTTAGCCTAACTGGGAAATCCTACACCTAAATATCTGCTTCAAATCGTCGCCAGTACTTGAGTTTCCCACCAGTATAAAATTGTCCTCAGTCCTGTGTCCAATGTTCAATTGTGGTAGCATAGGAAAATTATCTTTGCATACTTTTATTACCACTTACCAGATCAAGATTCAAGCTGCAGGGTTAATCCATGAACTCACCAGTCTTCCTTAGTAGCTCCTCGTCATCAAAGCCTCGTTTATTTATATTCAACTAGTTTGAAATGCCGAGCGAGGCTAACCCATTAAGCCGGTATAACCACACTTAACTATACCAAAGACAGAGCGCGGGCCTGTGGAGAGAAAATACCTCGCCTTTAGACCGGATTTAAGTTCGCCGCCTTTCATATTTCACTGGGTGAGTTATTTGCTCTATTTGAATAAAGTATTTCACTGGATTTTTGTCTTGAAATCTCTAGGGCTGGGAGTCGATGGATGCGCGGATTTATATTCGAGGACCTGACTTTTGTTATGCTAAGAGAGGGAGACGTTTTGCTGCAGTCGGTCATATTCAGTGATGAGATTTTTATTACGCTTACATTTGAGATTTTATCTACATTTTCACGAGATTTACTTTTTGTTTTAATAAATTATTATGATTTCTCTGCGGTGATGTAGTGATTATAATGTTTATCTCCTAATTGGGAGGTGCAGGGTTAATTTAATGTTTGAACACACAAATAGAAAAAAACGCGGTCTTATAGTTTCAAATTAGGACTTTGCAAACTTGAATTAGTACATAAAGACACTTTCAGCTATCAGTCTGATTCAATCTGACGCTTATAAGTTGACTATACAGCTTTAATATTTCATTTCTTATTGAAATAACTCTTGACTGATCTAATTCCATAAACATACTCCTATCTTACGCCCCACCAAACCACGAGTGCCTTGTCTTCACCAATTAGCACCAAATCGCTTCAACAAGCACGCGTCCCTGGCCGCGGCGATAAAAATAAAGGTATATCTATCAAGCCACCACGTGCCCACCATACATCAGGACTTTGCCCGCTCCGGACTCCGCAGATTAATTACCGACGCGTAAAATGTAAAAAGACTTTAATTTATGCCTCCGAGCAGGATTAAATTACCTCCCAAATCGAGCAAAAAATATAATCGCCGGACTTTAAAATTTAATTTCATTATAGCACACATAGTGTATTCGTTGAAGCAATTTTTCATAGTAATTTACTTAAAGCGACAGCTTCTCGATAAAAATTACTGTGTAATATTTTTACGTAACATACTTTGCGATAGTTTTAGTTGTGAACCAAAGGTTTCGTCTGAAAAAAATGTGGCATTTTTTATACCACCAGGTTTGTAAATAAGCTACTTTAAGATTTAGGGTGGATTGGACCAAACAAGAGTAAATATTTATCTCAGAATAAATCGTCCATTTTGACATATTTCCCATACTGAAACTGTCAATGTGCCAGTTATACCAGGAGTTATTCTATGATAAAAGTTTTGTCGAATCGGGCCTTAATAACTTACAAGCATTATGTACGTATGTACATTATACGTTTAAGAAATTTCTGTCAGCCACTTATCAGTTTCTTACATTATTACTAATAATATTGTCTATCAATCGGCCTGTATTATGATGGTCATTCGATTAATTCAACGTAAACAGAGTAGCAACTGACCGTAGAGCCTTAACAAAGTCACTGTCAAGTCGTAGACCGGCAGTCGTTCACAAAAGGCAGCCCGTCACCGGTTTCAAAACTCGACCGCAAACCGAAGCCATGCCGATACCTGAGTCGGCGGCATTAATAGTCTGTCGTGTCGGGATCGGTATAAACCCGCTATTTCGAGATACGACGGGCGCATTGTCTGCAACGCGATTCAACTCGCTAAGGCCCAAAACACACGGTGAAACGCAACTACACCGAAACTGCAACTTCTAGTTACTTTTGAGTCGCATCTAAGTTTCTGCCATAGCGGCCGTTGAGAGACCACACATGAAGCGACCAGTTTGACCAGTTCAAATCGGTTTCAAACTGCAACTCAAAAATAACTAGAAGTTGCAGTTTCGGTGCAGTTGCGTTTCACCGTGTGTTCTGGGCCTAAAGGTGTTGGAAAACTGCTTACGTTGATGCACGGGACGAAATAATGAAATTATGTCATTTACCTTTTTATTATGTGTGTTATTTTTAATTGTAATTTAGATTTTTCTTTTTTATGCCAGACCACGCTGACGCCTTAGGCTGAGTTGCACCACCTAACTTTGACGGTAACTATAACGATAACCGGTGCTTTTTGTATGGAGTTTGACAGATTTGTGACGTTTGTCAAAGTTAAAGTAAGATGGTGCAACTCAGCCTCAGTCGGCTGATAGCTGGGTCCGACTGTTAATCAATATAAACGTATGGAAGTGCGCACATTACACCGATTTGATATCGACCAATTTCAAACTTCATAATAATTGGAAGCCGATCAAATTATCAGCCGATTAAAATTTTATAGCCTGCGAGGTATCATAAAAATATAAACCCACACAAATCTGCTTATCAAAAAATCATTTGCTCTTTGCAGAACACGAAACCGCAACCGCATTGTAGTCCACGTGAACCACCAGACATGGGAAGGCGACTGTCACGTGTATAGACCATAATGTAAGTAAATTTTCCAAAATATTTCCTAAGGAAGCTATTCCATATCACAAGCACTCATAAATTTCAACACGTCACGTATAAAAATTCAAACTCCATAAACACATACATACGACCATAAACTCTCCGTAGCACTCCCAGGGCGGCTCGTAGCAGCTACGGGCTCGTATCTCGTAGCGCCGTAGCGCCGTAGCGTCGTAGTACACGTACAGTACACCATCAGCCGCGAAGGATTTTAACAAACCATTTCTGTATTCAAGCGTGTTCTACATTGTGCTGCGGAACGTGTTTATGACTTGAAAGTATCAAGTTTCAAAGGTGTTAAGGAAAAAAGCAGTGGGTTTTTGTGCCACTATTTGAATTATTGTTATTAAATAAGTTAGCATTAGCTCTAGTGTGAGTAGACCATTCTGAACAGTTTTAATTTCATTATTTTGTTATAGGGTGATTAAATTATATTCGTACCACCTTGTTAACACCAACAAAGTTTACTACTTTAATGAGTATAAATAAATTTTATTAACGTTTTAAAAATCAGAACCCGCCTCGCTTACACCGAAAAACTTCACAGTGATTAAACCTTTTATATCCAAACCGATGAAAATATTTTCAATATTCCTCGCTTAAAAACCGTATACCCAGCCGTGGTTATCGTATGGATTCGAAGTACGTTCTTTGTTTGTCCGTTGAAATTATTTAACACGCAGTCCATTGCGGGCAAACAAGCCGGGCTCGGCAAATAGCTATTTACAGTATAATAGGCCGAGTGTAAATAAACGGATCGGAATCGGAATTCAGCAATTAAGGCTCCAATTCTACAAACTATTCAATATATTCGGCTTCGTCTAAAATCAAAATAATTTTATCGTGTGGTTTTATGTAAGTAGTGCCATGCTGTCTTTAAATTTCAAGTTACTTAGATAATTATTTTACACTAGTATCAAACGATGAAACTGGTATTTGAACCCGGAAAACTGATTCCCTATGCTGTTGTTTATTGATTGCAAGTTCCATTTAGCCAGCATACGCTGGAAAATTAAATAATACCTACTCGGTTAAATATTACGTTGCTTTCATAGTTTTCAGTTCATGAAAACGTGACGTTGGTAGTATTATCGCTTAATAAACTCACATACTAAAAATAAAAGCTTACGCTGTATATTTCTACGGAATTCATGCAATTTAATGCGCACAGCTTATAACGAAGGAATTCTAAAAATGTCCGCACATGTTTTGAAACTAAATGGATCGCGCCGCCCGCATAGTTGCGATTGGTTATTTGAATTCCCAAGCAAGAGCCTGCAAGTATTCATGTTTGAAAATTCAATACCTGTTTAAATTAGAACGCAACAATTTTAATTTCTGTGTGGAAATAGCTTGCGGGTTTGATTTAATTTATCAAGTGACTTTTATAAAGGTAGGGTTAATAACTAACGTCAGGAAACTAAGACTAAGTTGCATCACTTAACTTCAACCATAACTTTAATGTTTTGGTATGGAGTCTGATTGACTTTTGATGTTTGTTTTACATATTAATGTAAGATATTGCAACTCAGCCTTAGTTGCGGAAAACGTTAAGAAAAGCGGTTTGATTTGCGTGAAAAAGCGTAGTACTAATAGTCATCATCATGAACAGCATCATCAACTTCTTGTAGTCTACTGGGACACACCAAATATGTATGAGCTTTCCCCATAAAATATCACTGTCTATGACAGGATGTCCACACATCACTATCGGTCGATCTCATTCGGTCCGCACGTGCGTTCACTCTTCCATTCACTGTATCCCCCTCTCGCCTATCAGCCACCGAACCGGCTTGACGTGCCGGCCGGCACGTTAACTCACTCCAATTCTTCCAATTATTGTCTAAAATACAATAAATTCAAAAACTCAAGAATGTATTTCATTAATTAGTTCTGTGAACAATCACATCGAACGGCTATGAGCCCTTTTACATCAATCAAATCACCTAACCAGGTCATCATAGGCTCAATGCGTTGCCCTTCCTTACACAGACTTACAATTTGGAAGGGCACTAGATGTAAAGTACCTTTCATTAGGTATGCATTTATGAACATCACTATAATCAAATGTGGTTATGTAGATTTGTACACTCAAAACAGAAATTACAGCACATAAATATGCATAAGAAAACTTAGATTCGTAGTTTATATGCCACAGAGTAAACATCTTAAAACAAACACGGCCCGTTATGGCACAAATGGTAAGTCCAAAATAAACAACACTCGCACGTACGCAAACACAAGTGTGGGAGGACATGCGCTTAGCGAGCAGGGCTGTCGATCTCTCAACTTTTTTAATATTTTTATTTAAGGCACAGGAGGCATATAAAACCGTTTCCATTAGCAGACTTCTGCAACTTCCTGCCCCGTACAACCAAACTGTGGAATGGACTGTCGTCTGCGGTGTTTCCGGACGGATACGACCTGCAAGCTTTCAAGAGGAGAGCGTATCTTTACCTTAAAGGCCGGCAACGCACCTGTAACGCCCCTGGGTCTGCGGGTGTCTATGGGCGACGGTAATCACTTACCATCAGGTGATACGTCTGCTCGTTTGCCTCCTATCACATAAAAAAAAAAAAAAAGACTAAAAATAGAATCAAATGGTAGGGAAAAATTACAAAAAAATCAATGGCATAAAAAAGATAATAATGTTCCACGTTGAACCTAAATAATGCTTTTGTTAAAAATTAAAGTCAATAAATTGTCAAAACGCCTTTTCTCGTGTATTCGTTATTCGCGACGCTAGTTACCAAAATTGCTAAAAAATATTCCTACGTCTAAACGCGTTTAGAGTTTGTTTTCCGGTTGTTCGAGACGTTAATTCATTTTGGATTCGATGCCCACATGGGGCACAATTAGTGCACTATACTGTGACAGTTTTGTTGTAACAAATGTTGCAGCCCTAGTAATACACAGCTAAATCACCTCAGCGCGTGTCGCGACTCACATTTTTTCACGGCGTAATCGCAGCGCGAATAATTGAAAGCGCTTACGTTAAAAAATAACGCAGTTAAAACAGATTTATAACGTGTGTGACAAACGTTTGTGCGTACTTTTTAATACATTAACCTGTCAACAAGAGGCAATGATAAAAACCTTCAGTCGTCTTTCCTTATAAATTAGAGTTATATTTTTGAATGCTGACTTTTCTAGCAATACAACACATCCTGTACAGCAACAGTCAAAAGTGGTTTTGACCGATTATGAGTTTTTGACTCTAACACATACAATGTTAAAAATTTATGATACATTTACAAGGCATATCCTCATTTGCCGTCATCTTAAGTGCCATTTTAGTGTGCACAGCTCCCCGAGCTAATAATGTAATCCAATTAAATTAAATGAGTGGAATGAAAATTAAAATTGCCAAGCCAAAATGAAGTGGTTCATTTGAAATTTAAGTGTCTACTTTATATTTCGGTGCCGTTTTAGTTGTAACAAGAAAGTGAAACTTGTAATATTTTAACAAAAGTTTGTGACAAAATTTATAAAATAATACCGAATATACATACCATGAAAGAGTTTGTTTATTCAAGTTCATTGTTCATTGTTGAAACAATCTGTATTTGAATAAATTACTTTTAAATATCTTGATTCAATTAAATTTCAACTTCCAAAACTACACGAATAATATTAAGCAATGAATGATATGACACGCACTTATTCTGCCGTAATTCCTTTGAACGATAATGCTTTATGAACATTCTTCATAAAACCCGGTAAATTGGAGGAACTACGACTGAGCCATAAAACGAAGAAAATAATGTAATAAGACTTTAAAAGCTATTTGAATACGAAATGCTTGAAATGAAATATTTTCAGCGCCCGTTTTCAATTCAATTTTATAGTAGATGATGATGCAACGTTTTCTGATATAAATTCAATTTTGTATGGTCATTTCCTTTGGCACATTCCATTTTCTGTTCCATTTCTCGCGAAACATGATTCGTTGTATTATGACACGGGTAGTGAAATCTAATTAATTTATTAGCAAGATTTTTAAACACTTAATATTATTTAGTATCTGTGACCGCTTTAAATGAAAGATGACTAAGTACTAATTATAATTAAATTGAGAACTTTCGCCTCAACGTTTGGGACGGCGTGTGGTTAATTACTGGAAGCCAAAAGGGTCTAAAAAGCTTATCCAGACTTTGATTTGCGGGAAAACGCTTTTCCTGAAATCTGCTGGGACTCACTTTCAGCCAACACCCATAAAATTGACACTCAATTTGGAGATGTTAAGAATTACGAGTACTTCCTTCTCAAGCATTTATTTATTTTTCTTATAGGGTGTGAATATTGTATAACCGCATCCGCTAGCGGCCGCCCGCGACTTCGTACGCGTGGATCCCGTTTTACCCCCTTCATCCATCTTACGCGGTTCAGATTTTTTCATACAAATGTTTTTTCCCGCTAACTCCCGTTCCCGTGGCAATTTTGCAATATCCTGTTGAAAGCAAGCTTTAAGTTTACTAAGGTACATGCATGCCAAATTTTAAGCGTCTAACTTAAGCGGTTTAGATTTTTCATACAAAAGGATTTTCCCGCTACTTCCCGTTCCCGTGGGAATTGCTAAGTATACTATAACCTGCCCAGGAGCATGAAGAATAATTGTACCAAGTTTCGTTAAAATCCGTCGAGTAGTTTTTGTTTCTATAAGGAACATACAGACAGACAGACAGACAAAAATTTTACTGATTGCATTTTTGGCATCAGTATCGATCACTAATCACCCCCTGATAGTTATTTTGAAAATATATTTCATGTACAGAATTGACCTCTCTACAGATTTATTATAAGTATTAGATACTTAATAGCCATTAGGCGTAGAAAATATGATGTTTGTCAAAAGTGTCGAGTGGACAAATATTATCGTGTGAAGTTATAAGTCCCAAATAAATACTCGTGTAAAGGTTTATTCAGTTTGAACACCAGTTCATTGGCTTCTGCCTTTCATCCTACAAAATCAGTTTACT